TACACATTTATTTCACTAAGTTTCCGGAAAAATTGAATGCTTAATTTTCAATTATCTTTGTAGATTTACATGCGTTATATTTTATTAGGTTACCAGTTAATTGAAGATTTTTTTCTTCTTCTACTATTTAGCTTCTTATTATCTATTCAAATATTCATTCTCTGTTGAATACATTAAAGGTGTATGTTCACAATGAAAAATAACCACAGTGTTTAATGAGCTTTAAAAAAAAAAATTAGAACATTTTTTTTGTAACCGCCTACACTCTGTATAATTTTATTAAATGTTTTTTACTTTACTTACACTTTACACTATACCTTTTTGTCAGTTCTCCTCAACTTTGTGATTAAAATTTTATCAAAAATTTATTTTAATTTGGTACCTTATTCGTCATACAATAATTAATTGATATAAAATTAAAAGATTTAGCTAAGAAATTGAATTATAAAAAATAAGTTGTGTCGAATGATCGATGAATTTGATTCTGGATAAATCGGTTTAAGAAACTGTTTGCAGGTGACAACAGAATCCTCAAAATTTTGTTCATCATTATTATATTAGTATTATATTTTTTAGATTAGCAGTAGTTGTGTCTTAGTTTCAGTAACCGTAAGTAATAAGAGTAATCATGCTGAAAAACAGTTAGCAAGAACAAAAGATTTTTATGAAATATTTAATTTGTTATAAGCCGTATTCTTTATTATTTTGCATTTTAAAAAAGAAAGAAGATTTATGTAAATGAAAAAAAAAGCCAAAAAAAACTTAGTGTTTGTTTATCGAGTTTTAGTTCGTCAGAATCTTATACTTTTTTTTTTGATCAGTTTCAGTATTTGAATGTAAGCATTTAGAGAATTCTAAACTTTTATAACATTCATTATTTGACATAAAAAGAGTATTTAAATTTGAAACTGATCGACAAATGTCTATTTGCTGTCAAATTTTTCAAACGTTTACCCCGTTATTGGGGTTGATTCATTAAAAATTGTAAGTATTCAAAAGTCTAAAAGTTCCTTTCTGATACCAATAAAGATCAGTAACTTTTGCACTAAGTGTTTTTTCATTAAAATTTCTTACTTTTAGCTCTCTTTTTTTTTTTTTTT